TTATTATTATTATTATTATTATTATTATTATTAGTAGTAGTAGTAGTAGTAGTAGTAGTATCATCATCATCATCATCATCATCATCATCATCATCATCATCATAGCTGGTCACACAGCCAGCCAGATGTTTAGATTGGATTTGACATTTTTATCCACATTATTAAACCTTTCCCAAGGACCTGGGATAGTCATATGTTGTTTGATGGTGTTAAAGTCATTATTGCAGAATGTAAGCTGTTTATAAAGCTACTTTTCGCTGATGACTGATGGCAATGTTCTCAATACTGGCAGTGTTCAAGTGATGCTCCAGATGTTTTAGGATTACCTAGTATTATTGTATTGTCTTTGCTTTCTTTTCCAATATTCATTCTGCTTCTAACAGCAGGTATTTGTATTTTGTGATTTTCTCCAGTTCTTTCTCTTCTATTTTGGTATTTCAAGGTACTGCAAGGTCCATTATCTAGATTTTTTGTCTTGTTATTTACAATGGTTAAGCCTGGTAGTTATGTGGCAGATTGTCTGTTTTAACCTGAAGTACAAGAGCACTTTAGCTTGTACATTTTTTTTATTACTTTCTCTCTTTTGTGATCCCACTAGTTCTTACCTGCAGAGAAGTGGTATTTCTCACAGATATTCCAATGTGCATTGTTGCTACTTTATCATGCTGTTGTTTGTAATCAGTCTTGTACATTCTTCTTGCAACAGCTAAAACTAGATGGTCCACTATAACTTCACCTTCTTTGCAGAGGCAGCATTTCCTATCTTTTTGATTATGGCTTTGTATGTGTTTGTTGTTGTTAAAGAATGGTCTTGTACAACCAGAATTAGCCCCTCTGCCTCTTTCTTCTTCACTGCCTCCTTGTCTTCTTTCATATTCTTCATTTGGTCTTTCTTGTAAGCCAGTTTAGTCTCTCCAGTATTCAGTAAGCCTTCATAGTGTACTAGCTTCAGTGCAATGTCTTTGCTGTCCTTTAGATATTTTTCCAATGCCTTTCTTCTTCTTTAAATATCTGGTGTAATTGCAAAATTCCATGTCCATTTATGATCTTTGCCAAATACAATCTGTCAACATTGCTATATGGGTGAAGGACATGATTCACTGTCATTATTTCCCTAGTCTTCCTATTCAGGACTTCTAATTGAGCTGTGTATCTAATGATTGGAATTGCCCAGGTGTTAATATTGCATTGCCAATACACTGCACTGTGTGAAATACATTTAAATTAAATAATGATTATTATGTACTACAACTGAAATATATTACATCACAAGAAAATACAGGAGGGTAGAGCAAGGATTGCACCAAAATCTCTTTACTATAGGTTTTGGCAAGCAGGACAATAAAATAATGATATGAAGAAAATGAGGAGGTTACTTTTCCATTTTGCTTTTCTGGGGTATTTAGTTTTTAGGTTGTCACTTTAAAACACAGGGTGACAAAGGTATAACTTCTTGATTTTTTTTCTTTAGCAGAACAATTAGTACACAATACAAAGTTGTACAAAAACCCTTAGGCCATGGCTGACACCTTCTGTTGTGCCACCCTGGTAGTAGCACAACCCTATCCAAACTAAGGATGGAAAATCACCAGATCCAAGAAGCTTTAAAATCCAAACCCACTTGGTCTTGCTGGGGTTAATATTAAACCTATTTTGTATCAAGATTCCACTGTCTCCATGCACTAAGATAGAGTCTCCACAGTCTCATTTGGCCATCTGTGATTGATAGAGTATCATCAGCATATTGATAATATTTTATCCTTTTTTACTGAATGACTTCAGCCAGTGGTTTCATATACAAATTAAACAGGAATGTGGAAAAAGTCATTACTGAAGCATTCCATGTAACAGAATTCATAGGGCAAGATAACACCCCTTCCCCAATTAATACAGACTGGAAATTATTCTGTTTTTGGAAGAAAGAGAATCAGCAAAACAATTTACTCCCAACTGCTAATTCTTGGAGCAGCTTCAAAAGGATACCATGGTGCTTAAGACCACTGAGAGATCATGGAGAACAAAGATGGATGTATTATTACCTCCCACTCTCTCCAAAGGTCATCCACAAGTGCAACCAATAACTCATACCCAGGCCTGCAACCCAATTAGAAGTCCATAAACTTCTGTATGGTTGATGTCTACTAAATGTTATCATTGCCTTTATTAAGCTATTAACAAGTATGTTACAAAAGCAATACATTCTCAACCTTTCAGCAGCACCATGAGAAGAAGTAGCCTGAGCCTGCTGGATATCCTCCTCCAAGCGCCTTTTTTCCTCCTCTATGTGTTTCAGATCTTCTGGTGAACGCTGCTGTTGACTTATAAGCTGCAGTTCTTGTAAAAGAGCCTCTTTTTCTTTAATAAGCTGAAGATGATCAATATCTGCCTCCGCCATTCCTGGCCAAGATTCCTGGTCTTGTAAAGCCAACTGTTGCTGGATTCTGAAAACTCTTAATTACAAAGGAGTATGAAAAGTTAATATATCAACAAGAAACATCTCCCCTCCAAATCTTTACAAAGATACATTTTTTGATATGGAAGTAGTTAGTTGAAGTACCTTGAGATGAAAATAACATAACAAACAGTTATAAAATCAACAATAAATTTGAATTGCATAAACTCTCAATACAGTTAAAATGTGTAGTGGTATCTTCAGAATTTGATGTCTTCTTAAACACATCACTATCACTATCACTGGAATCCTTATTCTCAATTTCCACTTTTTTTAAAACTCCAGAGTTTGCCAGCATAGAAACATAAAATGGAATTTAAAATTTTGATGTTATGGCTGGACCAAGGCAGTAGCAGGAAAAACGAGAAGAATTTCTCAACATGATGGCAATAATAAGCAAGCATGGTATAGGAAAGAAATCTGCTGCACAATGTCTTTTGCTAAGCATTAAACAGTGCCAGTTCTTCTACCATTTAAAAAGAAAATTCTGTATCACAAATGGCCAACTAGATTAAGATTAAGCTGGAAATGTTATTAAAACTGTAAATAGCAGCACATTTATTGAGATAATTTGAGAGGGAGATAGGGCAATATTAAAATGTTGAAAGGCTAAGAATGAATATAGACAGATAAACACTATGAGTTTTTTATATATGAATATATCTGTATTTAATTTTCTGTCAAGGAAGCAATAACAATACAACAGTTATCTGTAGTATTTATCAAGTTTCAGATCAAAAGCTTTTTAATATATGGGGCTTTTTGTGTCTTAGATATTTTACTATTGGCATCATTATGACCTACAAAAAAAGAGAGCTCTCATATTTTATTTCCCTTTTTTAACTAAGATGAGGTATAATTTTTAGATTCCATTTACATTCTGAAATGGATAACAAAGCATTCTTATGTTTTGAGACTAACATATTAAGTAGGTTCTCCAGTGAAAAGTACTCACAGACGAAAATATATTTTATATAAGAATCCACCAACTGAAATGGTAACATATGTACTTGGTTCTCTTGCCACTTTAGCTATATGAGGAGCCTGATCAAAATATTTTAAATATATTGTAACACTTTAATTTTGTCAACTTCATTTTTAGACTAAATACAGCACATTCCACACCCACACTGTATAACTTCATGAGCAAAGTTAGGCTGAACACAGAAATACTTTATGGAGACAAAAGCTGTACAGAATGCCAATAAGCTAACAGAAAGGAATGCATGATAAATAAAGAATGTGACCACTCACATAACCAAGAAACAAATGTGACTTAGCTCTTTGATTTAAAATTTAAAAACCATGTTACACATATGTAAGAATAAAATTTGTGAACAGATGAGAGAGACAAATACAGAATTACAATTAGGAATACACACATACATCGTATATAGGATTGTGTTATAACAGAAAAATGCCACCAGGCTTACAAAATAAGCAAACATTTACCACTAGTAATTTTGTATAAATCTTGGTTTACTTTTCATACTTACACCTCAAGTGAGTCCTATTTTCTTTTCTTTTCTTTGCATTTTTTCAGATTAAGGACTTTGGAAACTTAACAGAGAATGTATTTTTCTGTAAACCTGACAATTCAATATTAACTGGAATTGTAAATGATTCGTATATTGTTTTCTTCGATACATGCTTCTGGAATGGGTGATGTAAACTACCCATATAAATATTCATTGGGTATGAAGTTACTAATATACAGTACTTATAAAGAAATGAATGTAGCAACATCTACCATAGGTTAGAGGTATGAAAATATTATGACTAATAGATGCATTTGAATACCCTATCTTGTTTATCTCACAAAATATAAGTAAAGATAAAGGTTTCCTTGTCTAGTAGTGCCCAACTCTAGATGCGGTGCTCATCTCAGTTTCTTGGGCCAGTGTTGTCCAAACACATTATTTGTGGTCATGTCACCAGCATGGTTATATGCCAAAGCACATGGAATGGTGTTACCTTCCCTCCAAAGTGGTATGTATTAATCTATTCTCATTTGCCTGCTTTTGAACTGCTAGGTGGGCAGGAGCTGGGGCAGGAACAGGAGTTCACCCCTTTGTATGGTGCTTGGGTCTCAAACCCAGGCTGTCAGATTTCCAGCTGACAAGCTCAGCATCTTTAACCAGTGAGCCATCACGTCCCCTTAACAAAATATAACTGATGCCTATTCCAAGTCTATCCATGTCCAGGATTCACTGCAAGCACATATCTTTTTCGGTTTGTAATATGTGATTTTCACACTCCCTCATTACAACTTGATTAGCTCATTTTTATTTCATCTATCAAGATCTATAGAGCTCAGTTACCTCAAAAGTTATAGTCAAAATATAAATCAATCCTTATCACTTTAATATTCTATTTATTTATTAAAGTAGTATTTTTATAACATAAATGTTTTCTCTAAACTAAGGAATTGGAACGTAATTTCTTTTATGTATTTCTTTTTTGTATAACTTTTAATTTGTCTAATTTAAATGTACACTGCTGCAGTATTGGAGAGTTATTTAGTGGTTCTTCAGATTATTAAACTATGCCTAAATATCTAGTCACACATATGCAAAATTCCAGCTAAGGCGATAGTTATTAACAGATTATTTGCAATGTTAAAAATAGCAACTTAACATATTCACCTTTTTTTGGTCTCTTCATACTGCCAAATCAGTTTCATTTTGTCTACATGTCTTGTTGTATCTTCCAATCCAAGCTTTTTTGAAGAAAAGAAAAACAAGAAATTTAACAATACTTATTAGAACATGAGAAGAAAGAAATTATGGAGAAAGATACAAAAATTATCTATTATTACTTTATATTAATCAGCAGGGAAAATTTAGCTGAGGTAGTTAGCAGATACATTGTAAGAAAGGGTCTGTGTTTGTTGCTAGAATTCTTGACTTGGAAAGACACTAAACTTGAGCATTTAGTCTGAATTTCCACCAAAGATCAATGATCATGAGAACAATGCTTAACAAGATCTTACAACAGGAGAAGCTAATAGGAAAAGGAACTCAAATATGAATAATAGATGAATATGAAGTAATATAGCACTAAAAAAAAACCCAAAGCACTTTTTTCATTGTCTCCACAAAAATATAATGTCCAAATCATGGGAACAATCCCATTTTGAGTACTGTGTTTATTTCTAATCCTTTTAAAAGGATTCAGATAAATTGTGTCTGATAAGAACAATGAGAATGATCATGGAAAGTAAGTAGCAATAGCAATAGCAGTTAGACTTATATACCGCTTCATAGGGCTTTCAGCCCTCTCTAAGTGGTTTGGGTTTTTTTTTA